TGGAAGTACTGTGCCTTGAGCCAAGAGAAACTCAGGCGTCCCATCGTTGCGTGTGAGCTGGGCAGGTAACATATGTTTAACTCTATCAACACACAGACACACACACACACAAAAACATGTTAATACAGGGCTACCAACTTTTCACCAAACCTCGGAGTGAGATTTTGAAATAATTTGGACTCATGTCAAGGTTAGATGAGGATAGGTGCAGCTTTTGGCAGAAGGTTTTCAGAGGATCTAACTGAAACAAAGTGGCTTTTTTATATTATGTGGAAAAATTTCACACAATATACAATATTGTATATACTCTGAGATTTGGCCTAGTGGTTAGAGTGGTTCGATCCCCACAGCCTCCTCTCTGGGTTCCTGAGCAAAACCCTTAACCCCACATTGCTCCCCGGGTGCCGCACAATGGCAGCCCACTGCTCCCCAAAGTGATGGGTTAAATGCAGAGAGTGAATTTCCCCATTGTGTGACAATAAAGGGATTTTTACATTACATTCTTGTGATTATCAGATAATTGAAGTAAACAAGTATTGGCCCTATTAGAATACTTGCATGTTAAATGTACTATAAACTAAGAATTTCACAATTTTCTTTATTAATTACTCTATGCAGTTCAAGTAAAATAAATAATGGGGAACTAATTTGTTTTTCTGGATTATTGGTACTAATACAGGAATCAGTGCAATTAAATCCAATGCAAGCTACACTCTGTATGTTTGGTAATAGGCTAAGGATAAAAAAATCCAAACTCATTATCATATTATTTTTTTATACAATTGACAAATCAGCCAAACAATTTAGACCTTCTAGGAGGCTGTAGATTCTATAAAACCTCACCATGACACAAGAAAGCACTTCCCTGGCTCTTTCATTTTGAAAAAAATGTGTTGGAAACATATTCAAATGACCAATATAAGGATACAAATAGTAAAACAAGAACATCCCTCTGGTCTGGTTCCTCTTCTATCAATCCTGGAGAGCTGAGTTTGTCTGCACATCCCCTCTGTGTCTTATGTGGTAGGCCTTTTCTTAGGTGGATGATCTTTTGAAAACTAAAATGCAATAGTTCTTTTTTTTGTGGACCTGTTATCGGTTTGTGAGGCATACTGAAAACTTTAAAATCAAGATATTTGTGTTTATTTAATTAGTCCTAATTTTAGATGGGAGATTATTCAACCAGACTGAGCAATAACTATTTAATTTGTCAGTAAAACTGGGACTAAATCATGTGGCTTAACTAGAGCAAACAAGGAGTAAAGCTTACCAAAAAAAAGCACTAGATGTAGAGAAAACAAACAATTTGAGGTCAGTTTGATGTGATCCTAACAGCTGTTTCTGTGCTACCTTTCTGTTTTACCTTAATAACAATAATATTTTTTTTCTCATTCATAAAACTGTAAAATTGGGGACATTTCGGGGGAACAGCTTTACCTGGGGACAGGTGGTCCAATATGTGGACTATCAACCGAAATCTGGGAGGTCTGGTCCCTGTATCCTACACTCAATCTCCACATTGATAATTTAAGCTAGCTGCGGTATATTTTATTAATATTTACTCAAGTGTTAGATTGCTTAAAATCTTCATCAAAAGTGAATTATCTGAGTCAATATAAGATAAAAATTAAAATGATGCTGTAAAAATACGGACTGAGAAGGAGTTTTAATGTCTGTCCCTTTTTAGCATGAAAAATTGGATATTTGGAGTGTGAGCGTGTGAAGACACTGGGATGCGTGAGTCTCGCATCCAGTGGGTCAGAGTTGACAGCCCTGGTTGATAACATGCTGAGTTTTTTTATTATGTTCACATCCGTTGGTTTTCTAGTCACAGTAAGACAAAACATTTACGGTACTTCTTTGTCTTTGAGTAATAAAAAAAGCTACTGTTGTTCATGTTGTGTTTCAGACTTTATAACAAAGACGCAATAATTGAATATCTCCTGGATAAATCTGCTGAGAGACCAAATGCTGAGGCAGTTACGCACATCCGTGGGATCAAGGTATATTTATTGTATAGTAAAACTAGCCATGTTGATGTTTTGACAAGACTTGAGCACATATGACTCATTTGTCTAATGTGTGTTTTATTTCACAAAACACTTTTGTTCTTTCAGGATATAAAGGAACTCAACTTGACTGATAACCCTGAGTGGGAAGGAGAGAGGAGAAATGCTAAAGGAGACAGATACGAGGACATCTACTGCGGCATGTTTATCTGCCCTGTTGTTGGGTTGGAGATGAATGGAAAACACAGGTAAACAATTTTATTTTCAGTGCCTTAAAAATAGGTTCACAGCAGGCTCTTTAAGGCATTTTTTCCTTGCAGATCTGTTTAACACTGAAAAGCAAGAAGTTTAATGCCCAGTACTGCAAAGTGTATTCTGAGTTATTTTACATTTATTTGCTTACCTAAGCTATAAGCAGCACATTCTTGGGAATATTTCTAGGGGAATCCCAGAGACAAGTGATACAAGTGTCATATTTAACAAGCCAAACATGAGGAATATATAATACTCCAGAACTTAAACATTTTTTTGTATGTTTGTTTTAGGTTCTGTTTTCTACAGACCTGTGGCTGTGTGTTCTCAGACAGGGCTCTTAAGGAGGTTAAGACCGAAATCTGCCATAAGGTAGGCAGTTTTCCTTTTTTTTTTGTCTGTTTCCTGTTTGTCTGATGCTTCAGTTAATTTATTGAATTTTAAAGTTAGCAACTGCTATATTTAAAAGAAAAAAAAACATTGCAAGTGAGTTTAAATATCTAGAAGTTGTGAAAAGAGAGAGCCATGTGTTAGTATGATTTGGCTGTGCAAATTTGTAGATTAACGAACTGCATTGCATCTGCAACAAAAGCCTTTGAACAAGTGAGTCCAATTTATAGATGTTTGTCTGTGAAAATTATATGCAGCATAAACATACACCAACTGCCAGGGTTGGGGCTGGAGAGGTGAGGATTTGAGCATATTGTGTAATTACATGATCTGGGAACCTTAAAGTAATAACTGACAGTATACTGTGTATACCTGTAACATTTAAAATATGAGACCAAATATTTGACAGAAAGAGGGGTTCATCAGTAGATAAATTGACCTTGTTTTATTTATTCGATGCAACACCTTTATCGCCTCCGTTTTTTTGTTGTTTCTTTGCTAATTAAGGCCACTCCATTTTTTTTTTTTTTTGATGTTTTATTCTTTTTCAAGGCGATGTTTATAGCTCTTACATTCCAAACCATCAGCATCTGCATTATTTCTGAATAATGTTGATACATTTCAGTGTAACTAGCATTGGTGCTGATAGGGACACAGCCCATCTCAGGCCTTGTCAGGCTGGATGGGACAAATTTGTACGCAGTCATTTTTTAGGATTTCTCCAGAGATTTAAGTCTGGACCCTGGCTTAGTCACTTCAGGAAATTCACAGAGTTGTTTTGAAACCACTTGTTTTAAGATGTTGGCTGTGTGCTTTGGGTCATTGTCTAAGTCCAAGGTCTGGAGCGCTCTGGACTAACTTCATGCTTGGTATTATTGCTCTACGCTGCCAGCTTTTCAACTAAATTTACAACAGGTGGACTCAGTTTAAGCTTATATTTTTTTTATTTTTGATAAATTTGCAGCAATCCAAAAAAATAATAACATTGACTGGGTGGAATATTGTTTCTACAATTTTTTGAGGTTGATTGATTTAAAAACAATTGAATTAAGTGTAAATAAAATGCAGCTTTGAATTTGCAGAAGCACTGCCCATGTTGGGACTTAGTTAGGGCTTGCGGCCCAGGATGATAAGGATGATGGCATGGACTTGCTGGGTAGAGTTTATTTTTAGCCCTCCCTTTTTTTTCCTTGAATGAAAGTGTTACTGCTTGTTCAAAAATTTGGGAAAGTAAGAAAATATCAAACATTTAACTTGAAATGTTTGACACATTTTTAGTTGTCTAACCTTTTTTATACTGTAATTGGAGAAGTACAATTCCATAATTTTTGAACTGAACAGATAACAGAAAAGCCCACACTGAAACATTTGGACATGTGTTTTGCGCAAACTCTGTAAGATGTTTCTTTTAAATGGAACCACTCTCTCAGAAAGTAGAAATCAGAGTATTTTAGTTAGTCTCAGATTTTTTTTTTGTTATTTCATTATAACTGCATCGACTGTTTGGCATATCAAGATTTCCATGTTTCCTGGAGCAGCCTCACTCATGCACAGCCCCTTGTGATAAGAATCTGGGCTACTCTGCTAATTGTTAAGGGAACACAGTAAATAGTCACATCTGAAAACTGAATTTCTGCAGTATTTGTAAATACACAAACACGCTAGAATTCATACCTGTAGCTGCTGCAACTGTTTTGTCTGAATACATGATTTTATCTTTTAAAGAGGAATAAGAGCGTACTGTCTCCAGTTGTAGTGGTTCCACATGGTGTCTGCTGTTATTTCATTTGTTAACGCTGCAATTGTAAAACCAAAGTTCGGTAGGTGAGCGTTTGGTTTTGCTTGTTTCAAACAGCTGAAAAGGTTCTGCTTAATGTCCCTCCTTTACCCGAACAAAATTGATGGAATAAGTCCCAGATTTTAAATTATTGAACTAAATCCGAGTGCAACACCTGTTAGAATGACCTTTCCAATGTGATCAAGTTACTGTATTTAATCACAGGTCGAAATATAAAACCCAAATATCATTCAAAGAAACTGGATATTTTACCTAGTAAATTCTCATGTAAAGTTATATTAAAAATGGCACATCATGCCTTCTTTTTAACAAAAATATTATTTTGACATCTGACTTGCAAAATCTTTACCAAGTTTTATTGATCTGACTTTAAATATGTTTTCCCTAATATCAATGACAAAGTAATTTAACTTGAAATCTGTCATGTAAGAAAATGATATTTTAGAAGTAAACTGTGACATTATATAAAAGTAATGCACTTCATCCTTTTATTTTATTTTCCTCACACAGTTTCGCCTACCTGTTTTAGACGTATAACAAACACAAAGACCTCAAGTGTTCAAATTGGTTTAATCTTTTTTGTAAACATGAAAAACCAACTGGAGTGAACATGTTTTGTCATTTAAAATAAACAGCAATTGAATGAAAATGCATGAACCTCCTGTCCTCTAGCTTAAATATGTGGCAGTTATACTTATGTCTGTAACAAAGTCACAAGAAAGAATTTAACAGCTACAGTACACAGCTAATTACGGATATAGCAAAGTTGACGCGTATACAGAAATATTATGAAAGGCTGATTACTAACACAGAAGTACTTTTCCGTCAAAGATATTCCAATGATATTTTCGTTGTACCAGGTACATGACAACAATACTTGTTGATCTCAGTGTTAAGAAAATTAAAAAATGTAATATCTGCATATCTGGCCACTAGGGGGTAGTAAAGGAACAGATGAACCTGCATGCAGTTTCCCTGAAACTTAAAACTTAGTGTGTATCTTTTGTAATTTTAAGATACTATTTTCTTTATTTTTAATAAACTCATGTGAAATTTCTTTAAATCACCCACAGGCCACAACTTGTTCATGGCCTGTGGCAGTAAGACCTGTAGCTGTTTGGCTTGTACATTTCTTCCAATACATACTGTATCTCATCAAAAGCAAATGTTATCATGATCCTTGAAAATAATCCAGAACACAATTTATTCTAACAGTAGAAAGGTTTTACAAAATGTCTTTATTTTTTTTACATCCTACAGAATATTTAACATTCAAAAAATAAATAAATATATTAAAATATCCCTTTTCAAGCCATACATGCATTGTAAAACTAATTTCAAACTAGATTTAATTGTGCAATTATGCTCCCTCTCTGGATTTAAGTTTCAACGTAAACAGCCCTCTTAGTTAGATCTATCAGCAACAATTTTTTTTTTTAACACAGCTTGTTTAGAGGTGAGGTTCTGGAGTGGATCTCTGAGTTTAGCTGCCATGATGGATCTATGGGAACAGTCGCTTGCTTCAGAACCTTGTTCCTGTGCCAATGTTCCAGACAATGAAGGGCTTCTGGAAATGTATTACTCTCGAACTTGTTGGCGAACATGCCATTCTTCTCAATGATCCACTGAAGGTCTTCCGTACCATAGACACAGATGTCCCGTACATAATGCCCTTTAAAAGACAAAAAGAAATTTCAAACATTCTGAACAGTTCTTTCCTGATTACATAGCTTAGCGAAACTCTTACAACCTAGGCTGTGGGTCAATGCCTAAACCCAATGATTAACCAATGTAACCTGACCGTGAAATACCTTTGCAGCCATCATGACTCTTCCCTTCTTGGTCCCTCCACTTGATTGCCCGGATGGATCCTTCCCAGCCTCCATTAATCCGACTACCTGGAGCTTCTTTACGCAGTCAGATAACATGAATGGTTAATATTATCGTTTGTTTTTAAACAATTAGTATTGTGTTTACACATCTAAGTAAATATCAACATTCCTATCATGGCTTTTATTTTATGCAAATCAAAAATCACATTAGAAATTAGCACACAGCTACAATCAATGCAGCTAGAAATCACAGACTGGGTTCTAAATCTGGGTGTAGTTATGGACTCAGACCTGAAATTTCAAAGGCACATAAAGTCAGGATTAAATGACTAAGGTCTCAGCAGGACCTAGAAAAACTAATTCCATGTGTTCATCATAAGTAGAGTTGATTACTGGAACTGTGGCTTTACAGGTCTGCATTAAAAACAAAAAAAATCACAGACAACTGCAGCTGATTCAAAAAGCTGCTGCCTGTATCCTCACCAAAAACATGAAAGTGGAACACATCACCCCACTGTTAAAGTCCTCCCCCTAGCTTATATTCTCTCAAAGAATAAACTTAAAAATACTTTAAAATCACTGAATGGTTTAGATCCAAAATATATTACAGACTTGCTGTTAGTAGATCAACCTTCCAGACCGATTTGGTCTTCTGGCTCTAATCTACTTGGTGTTCCCAGAATCAAACAAGAAGAAGCAGCATTTAGTTTTTATGCTCCACAAATCTAAAATAAATTGCTAAAGTGTTGAAACCCTCAGTTGCTGTAGATTGAGGTTAAAAACATATTTAAGTGGCTTTTGACTGTCATGTCTAAACATTAAGTTTCCAGTTCAACTTTTGTGTTTTTCATATTTTTTATCAATAATTGTATCTTTGTTTTTTGTTTTTTACATATAATTAGATAAAGATCGATTTTTTTTTTCTGTTTAATTCTATTATGTTACCTTCATGCCACTCCAGTGTCTGTTTCACTGTTTCACATTTATATTTATGCTGATATTTTGTTAACAGTGCTTGTCAGTCGTGACAGGGGGTTATCTTTTAAGTTAGTGTAATTATCAGTAAAATATCTTTGCATATATAGTTGCTCCAAGCTGGAGAAAAATAGTAAAAAACCATCTTCAATTTGGTTCACAAATTAATGATAGACGAACGACAGAAGGAAAAAAAACTTTACTCTTAAAGGGACTTGGATTCTTAAAAGAAATCTTCTTGGGGATGTTTCCTTTATGTGAGAGCATATACATTTTTATGACTTGACTTGTGCTGCACCCACATTTTTCAGCATTTTATTAGTCAATTTGCATTTGTTAATGTGTAACAGCTAATACATATGAAGCCATAGGATATATTAACCAGTAAATTATTTGAAGATTTATATGCAGCATTATGTAACCTAATGCAATTCAACTTATCTGGGTTATTCTTGATGCAGCGATTGCACTTGGCTTCAGATCAATTGAATTACATCAGGTGTGTTATATTATAGTTATAAACTGCCTTATCAAGAAGTTGACTTTTAAAAACATTTTTGTGAAACTGAACAAGGTTATTTGGCCTTTTTTCCTTGTTGCCTTGATGTCAATTAATCAATGTGAATTTTGAATGTTTTCCTTTATAATTTAAACTTAAATGTTTATAAGGTTAAAAGTAAAAATTTTTTTCAAATATCTACTGAAACTAGTTTTTTAACAAAACGTAAATCCAAATTCTTAATTATACAGAAATTACAGCTCAGTTGAATATCTCAGTCTTTGCTCTTGCTTTTTTTCTCAAAATGTGTTTTTTGCGTTAGCATACATCTAAGTTACATCTGGCTGTCAAAAATGCTTCAAGATTGTTCCTCTTTTGGATCAGTTAACGGTAAAACCAATCTGTCCTCCCGTCAAACTCAGCTTAGAGACACTCCCAAGACTAGTTTTTCTAAGGTTTCTGAATTTTGTCAAAACTTGAAATCCAAATATATAACGCTTATTTGATCAGTTCTCTTTGTTTAACCCAGAGTGGTGCACTGTGTCCTCTTAAGTAAATACAATACTTACTTTTTATGTTACTGTTTACCCTCCAACATTTGCTTAGAGCTGCAATAATTATGCAGGTCAATAACCATGTGATGTTAGATTTCTAGCTATGTGCTGTTACATCACATTAAAACTGTTGTGTGCAGCCTTTCTTTTCAAAGGGCTTGTTTTTAACATGGTCCTACTTCATAATCAATATCTGTCTGTTTAGAGTCCATTTTATGCCCTTGTCTCCACAATTGTTTGCAGTGTTTTACACTAATGGCTAAACCTCTCTCGTATGGGATGCTGTATTATCTGATAATTGACGCTGGAGTATTTCATTTCCAGGAAACATTACTTTGGGGGATTGCCTCTCTGCAATGTCAAAACGAGATTTTGTATTTTAAAAATGTAAAGATAAAAACCCAAGTTTGATAAATAAGCATCACTGAGATTGTGTGAACATAAAAGTAATCAAAGACCTTAAGGGCAGGTTTAAGTGTTCTCCACTTGTTGAATGAGCTATACGTATAATTTCTCCTCTGACATATTTCTTATACCAGTTTGGCCTTTCTGATTTGACAATTCAGAGTTCAACAAGCAGTTTACCTTTTATGTGGTTGAGTGTCACCCAGTAGTGCTCGTCCGGACTGAATGTGTCTTTGGACCACTCAAGAAAGTCCCTGGCAATTTGGTCCTTCAAAACAAAGTCCACAAAATCCCTTGTGAGAGCATAGTATGCTGTGCCAAAATAAATTTGCAGTTTGTGAGGAGGCGGAGCTTTTACATGTCTTGGCACCCTTGGGACAACATATGACCCCACAATCTCCCAGTGTTGGAACCGCGTTCTGTGCCTCATGGTGGCTGGCTGTTTGACCCCGGGCGTCATGTTCTTGTCCCTCCATTCTTTGCTCTGCATGTACTGCACTAGTTCCAGATTACTCATGACTGGGAAATCCTGTCCACACAAATTAATGACTTTCCTCCAGGGTATTGGAGACGTAGAGAGATCCTTCATGCAATTCAAATCCGCTTGCAAACGTGAAAATCCAGCATATGTCACTTTTTCTCTGCGACTGGAAAGGAACACGTTATCAAAGCAGCTGGCGAGTTTTTCTACGGCTTCCTGGTACTCCATTGGGGCTTTGGCATCCACGTGTATGCAGTAGACATTTTGTGGCATGTAAATAGCTCTAAGCATGCGGACAAAAACCTCTAGCTCTTTGTGGATTGTGATAATGAAAGCTAACGGATAGTTTTCTTCTTCACGACTTAGAGTTGCGTTGATAAAGTGTAGTTCCGTAGTCAAGTTTGAACATAGCAGGCCACCACTGCGAAGATAATTCTCAATCTGTGGAAAGAGAAAATGCTTATCAGTGCCGCTGCCTTAGAGAAGGGGTACTTCCTAAGAGGGGAGGTTTTATCTTTAAAGCATTCTAGTTGTTTACATTGTGCACCCAGATTCACATGTTGACCTGTCTGTCTTGCTGTGGATCAGTATTCACTCTTTATTTATTTAATTTCCATTTCTTTATCATTTAATTGTCTGATTGCCTTTATCTTACTATCTGCATTTTAATGCCTACTGGATGTAAACAAAGTAGGAAAGAGCTGCTAAAATGTCAATAGCTGTAAGATCTGAAGGGTTGCTGGAAAAAAATAACATTTTATCTAAAAGCAGTTGTGCACTTTTATCAGTTAAAGAAACACTTACCTGGCAGTTTTTGTTTCCTTCCTCAATGTCAGAGAGGACAGGTTTACATTCAATGGGGAAAGGTCTGGAGCTTGAAGGCTTTTCCACGGGCTTAGTTCTAATCAGCCCATAAATGATTGAACACACCACAATCCCCAGGCAAAACAGGAAGCTACATTTTCTGCCGTCAAGCTGGCGCATAATAGCCTTGTTTCACTGTTGTACTTCAGCACCGCCACAGTTTAAGCTCCTGTAAAAGAAACCCAGATTGGTTATTTCCAGATGGATCTCAAATCCTTGAGGGATATCAAAAGAGGTTAAGCATGTAGGTTATATCTAATTGATGAAACCACTTGTAGGTAGTTGTGGTACAAAGTATAAGCTCTAGATAATATATATATATATAACATTCACTTTTTATTAACTTGTCCTTCTTTCAGGATGTTATAGCCCTGTGTTCTATTTTATTACAGGAGTAGGTTACATTTTTTCCCCTATAATCTAAGTTAAAACAAATACAAAAGGTTTAAATCAATCAAACATGTGCTTGCATGTAAAGGAAAGTAAAAATGATGACGTGAAGAAGCAACTTTAAGCCTTCTTAACCACAAGATCTCCTGCTTGGAGGGCAGAAGAAGCTTAAACCATAAAGAACGTGCAATAATTATATAAAAATAGCTATTTTCTTATAGAAAATCTCCAGCCAGTTAATTGGTGCATGTGGTGCATAAGATTTGGCTTATTTTATTTATCATGAAATAAATAAATTAAATGGGGCTTTCCTAGACATCCTATCCACTCGAATTGCTTTGCCCTAAATCCATATTTATCCAACAGTACTACCAAACACACATTCATACATTGATATGCAACAGGTTCAGTAACTTGGTCAAGGATGCATCAACGTGTGCAGTGGACATTTATATTCACCTGATTACAAAATAACTTCTCTACTCACTAAGCCTCATCCATTAAAGATAACTTGCTTCATGTATGTATCTTTGTTTAACTATTGTTCAAACATTGATACATAATGTTAATTTTACCGTATCTTACACTAGATTTTTTTCAACCTTTTTAAATTGGTAAGCAAATGCATTTTGTTTGCTAAAAGGATAAAATAACCACAATCTTACATAATATTTGTGCAAAACATTCAGAACTGTATTTGTAAATGTCTGTTACTCCTATACTCCTCTACCAGTTTTGCTCATCTGGAAGGTTGAACAAAATTTCAGATGCTGGAAAAAGATTTAATGGATTTGAAAAACAAGAAAAGAATAAAAAAACGTCAGTTTTTATCTGAAGTCTGTGTTGGTAATATTTTAAGACTATTTTATATATAATTTTGGAGAAATGTATGTAGAGGCTTTGGCCAACTGTTGTGAAATCACTAAACTATTGCTACACTGATTATCTCACACAATCTCACACAACCTCATGATTTCCTTTGGAGCTGAATCACTCAACCATTGCCACAATGATCGTCTCACACAATCTTTAGCTTGTAAGCTGTTACATGTGACAGACATATCATTTTATAAAATTTTGCTATTATTGTTTAATGCAATATATCATGGGAATTATGTCTCTTCACTGACACGTTTAAAAAAACACTGAGTAAAAATAGTTTTGTCTCAGAAATAGGGAAATAGCTAAATGCGGATACTCAGCTGTTTGACAAAGCAGTTCGCTTCACAAGTTTGATTTTAAAAATAGTGTAAAATCTCTTTAGATGAAGAACTAAAGAGATTTGAAGTCTGTGAAGGTTATTCTTGATCTAACATCAATAAGCCTGCTTTGGTGACTCCCATGCAGCACAAAAGAGACACTATTCCCCTGGTAAGGGGGGGAGGCTTGTGCTGAGGAAATATGTACATTTATAGTCTTCTAGTGAAGTATTTCTCCCTAATGGCCCTGTTCTTCTGTGAAACTGCTATATGAAAAAGCAGCTATTTGTTAAAGAAATGCCTGGTAGCTTTTTCTTGCTCACAGAGTAGGTACAGTGCTGTGAAATAAAATATTTGCCTCCAGACAGATTTCTTGTTTTCCCCTTTTTATCACACTTAAGGATTTCTTTTTTCTTGTTTTTTTTGTTTCCTGTTTTGCCAATGTAGCTTTGGGAATCGATTTCCCAGAGCTAGCTGGTAGCCCAACAGCTTTGCTTTCACAAGCAGACCATTATGACTGTTGCCATAAGGTTCTGCTTGATACTTGTATATTTTACTTTATTGAAGATTATTTAGGGTTTAAATTGTACACAACGGACACAGACGGAAATGGAGGTGAGAAAGAAAGAGGGGTTAAAAATTAAGAGGAGAGAGAGAGAGACAGGAAAGAGTGCATTAAAAGAGAGACAATAAAAGAAAACAGCAACAATAGACAACACAAAAGATATACAGCAACTCCTAGAAGTCTGCTTCCATACCTTTATGAGACGAAAGAACACAAAACTGAGAAGAAAACAACAAACAACCAAAGTAAACTAGAAAAAGCCTCAAGAGCAGTGGTTATCCTTTAGATATTCATGTGTGTCAGAGTCAAAACCTATGGTGATTACACAATATTATTCAGGGTGGAATATATCTGTAACTGCAGGTTAGTATTTAGTATAAGTGTATAACCACAAATATTTAAGGTTTTCACTCATAGAATATGGTTTTGTATCCAACAAAGATTACCATAGTAATAAACCTAATCGTAAGATAATATTTATTTTAAAACAAAGATTATCCATGCCAAGTAAGCCCTGGTTTTTAAATCCTGAGGGACATTGTCCATCTGTCAGTTAATGACTAAAGACTGTGTGGACTTTGGTTATGCAGCGGTACAGTGATCCAGGGCACTCCATGTCCACCTGTAAAAGGCATGAATGTTTTTTCTTTATAAGAGTTTCCTAGTCGAGCTTAAGAACAACAATGATTCTGTGCCATGAGACAGTTGATCATTGAAACCTTCCCAATTTGACAAGATAAAAAAACAGGCTCGTGAGTGACTAGTCACCATTTATATAAGACTTGACAGCAGGTGCTATTAGCTCTCCAACACTCCCACCCACAAATACGCACACACACTGTCCGTTTGGACATATTTTAAGCCTTAATAATCATTTAAAAAGTACATTTTGGTGAACAGTTAAATTTAATCTTCTAAAAAATGTAAATATCATAGAAATACGAAAACAGCCGAAATCTTTAAGGGACATTTAAGTCTTTACTTCTAGTTCTGTTACAAATGTATAGTCCTACTACATCCCCCATGCTTCTACCTCAATAATTTCCATTCTGTCGATCAAACACTTTAAAATCACATGTATGTAAAGTCACATGCAAAAACAGGGTAATTTACCTTCAGCTGGTAGTTCTGGCAGCGATATCTGTTGTTTCTGAAGAAATAAAGATTTACATACAAGCAAATTTCTGATACTCCAAGGCTTTAATGCTCCTCATAGCTTCCTGACTAGGATCTACACATAGGTCCACTCCACTCGCTCCATTAACAAGTACAGCAGCACTTCAGAGCTATATTTGGTTGTAAAGATGGCTTTGTTGTGTTCTGGTGGAGGGACTGAGTCCTCCGAGCTCCGGTCCCTGGTAGAGTCAGCAGTGTGTTATTCTCTAGCTGTACTCATTAGATGGCTCCTCCTTGTATCCCCGCGAGACGAGGTTCATCCCTGCCTGGTTACCAGCAGGGACACAAAATTACATGCGTGACGCACAGGAACAGGCTCACACACCATAGACTCTCCTTCAGGGTTTTTTTTTTTCCACACTCCTCCCACATACAGTTTCCTACTCACTTGTACTTGCTGTTTTCGTCTTTCCCTCCTTTCGTTTTTCAACAGTTTTACCTAAAACCGCTTTTCAAATGTTCCCCTTCATCTTTTGCTCTTTGTGTCTTTTGAAAATCCAGCTTCTTTTCCGTTAGAGGTTCCTGTACATTATCATCCACACAGTTCCCTTTCTGGTAAATCGTTTCCCCCCTTTTTGTCCTGCGGATGATCATCTCTGACAGGTTCCTACTTGACCCATTTGTTTATCTGATGCTGACGTACTTGGCTCGCTGGCTTTCTGTGCCTTTTGTGGTAAAGGCAGCCGGAGAGTTAACTTCAAAGCAACGCACACAGAGGTTGTTTGCTGCTTGGTCAGCTTCTGAGATTATCCCTCTTGTGTTGAAAAGAGCACATGGCCAGAGTCCACACCCACACTGGGGTATGGACGCACAGTAGATCCGTTCCTGGTTCCCGTTTTAATATTTAACTTTGGGTGGGATTTCCCTTTAATTACAAGGGAGTTGTTTTACTTGTGCTATTTTTATTGTACAAAAATTGTTTTTTATAGATACTTAATGCTTGAAAACAAAGTTATATACTTTTGAATCTCACGTGTTGCTGTTAAAAAAATGTAAACATGAGAAAATATTCTAAAAGTGTATTTGATCCCAGTTTAAGCTGAAATCACCTTTGCAGGCAGTTTTTTATGGCAGCAAAACTCAGCATCTTTCTAACTGAGGTTTTTTCTAGTTCATCTTTATGCTATGCAGAGGTTGTGCAGTGTTTTAATAATTTATTAGATTTTATGGAACATCAACAGCTAATTTATTTTTTTTCTACTTCTGCTCTAGCGTCTCATTGGGGAAACCAAATGTGTCTTTCAAACAAGTGAATAGCCTCACATATTTTACTATTTTCCTCTTCTAGCCAATCACTTCCACTGACAAACTATAGTACAGATTTCCATTATTCAAGCTAAACAAACAATTACTTTGCAAGACAAAGTGGGACCACATATGCTTGTTCTAGGTGCTTCCAAAACGTATTTAACCCTGCCAGAGAAATGCCTCTTTAACCAACACACAAATCAAATGTGCCCTTATGAAGTTTGTCTGAAAAAAGAAAACATTAATACACAAAAAGTCAGTTATTTGAATAAATCTACAAGAGCTCAACTCTGTGTCCTCATCTCTGCTTATGGGTCCTCAAAACCCCAACCAAACCCTGACAGTATGTAGGGTAAATCCTAAAGGTATTGATACCATTGACTGATTTAGGTTTGATGTTCTTTGATTTCTCTGACTAAAAGTAATACAATATTGTAGTGTTGGTGCAGCCCAGCTGGAGTCTCAACTTACAGCTGATAATGAGTTTTTGGAGGAAGCTAAGCTTCAAGAACACCTTCCACACTCAATTATTCCCAAAGATAAATCATTAAGTGTACAAGTTTAAGTGTGGTTCAGATATGTATTAGTCAAGAATTTTATCAGATCAGTGCAAAGTAAAGAGCCATATAAAAACCAGATGGTTAAAAGAAGTTACATCTACTCTCAGTTCAGTTATAACCTGTATATAACCTATTTATTAAGGATCTAAAATAATTTAAATGCAGAATTAAATGTACAGAACAACACATTTCATATTTCATTATTTCATATTGAGACAAATATAAAACAAAGATGGAAAAATCCATGATAAAAGTTATGTAACACTCAAAACTCTAGAGATGTTAAAAACATGCAATTTATTTTTACTAGGTTAACTAATTCTAAATACATTTTAAAGCAAAAATGAAACTTAACTAAATGGGGCCAGTGGTATACCAGAAGGCCAAGGTAAGTGCTCTGAAGTACAGCTAAGAACACCCTTTATGAAAATTGCTAGGATTTTTTTCATAGCCTTATATTTATTATTTGTACTTTAAATGGGTACATTACTATTGGATTGGGAAGGGATTTTCTATCACTTCCCGATCTACCTTTTCTATTTTATTTTTCTTTAAATTCTGTCTGTGAATTTCAGTGTGGGGATCCTTTTAAAGATGAAGACATTGTTGTCCTTAATGGCACAAAGGAGGAGGTTCAGAAGCTGAGGGAGAAGATGGAGGAGAGGCGAGCAAAAGCAAAACCCAAGGTAAATCTATTTTGCAGATTTATGAAAATACATTGACGTTTCATGATCACAAAAGGCAATTTGATTTATATTTTTGTAATCAAAACACATCTTTTTTTTTTTTCAGAAATCAAAGAAGTCCAAGGCGGTGGAAACTGTGTCGACCCCAACAGAATCCAAAGGTTTGTCTAAAACCCAAGTGGGACGTCACATTGACGAATAATTTGTCTAAGCAAAACATTACAGCTGAGGAAAATGCCATAAAGTATTCTGCCTGATTTGGATAATGCTTTGAATGCTGTGTGCTTTCTACCACCTAACCAATGTCTTTTTTTTTTTTTTTTTTGAGCAAATGGATTTTATAGCTTATTGCAATCACCCAACATGACTTAATATAATATATATATATTTTTTTTTATCTAGTTTTTCCCAACTCTGATCCTAAACAGTCTATATCTTAAGGATTTAAGTGCCATAAAGGTTCCCTATTAGGTTGACATGAATCGGTTCATTACCTGTTTTATTTAAATGTGGTGTATTAGAGCAGGGAAACATGTAAAACTCAGGAGGTGTGTCCCGAAGCCCGGGTTCAGAAACACTGCTCTAGTTAATGCAGTAGCTCCAGCACCAATAACTAGAACCGTAGTTTTGCCAGTGCTCACAAAATGTTTTGATTCTCATTTATTTTTTCAGCTAATAACTTGATATGTCCCTTAGAACATGCATTGTTTCCTAATTTTCCAGTAAATCATTCAGTAGGAAGTGTGTACAAAACAATTTATAAAAGAAAGCTCCTTCCTGTGTCTCATTTCTCATCTTTATTTCGGACACACACTGAAGTATACAATGAATGACAGTAAAGGTCCTTGTAACAAAAAAAAAAAAAAAAAACAGTCTGAAAAGGGTTTATTGGCAGAAACAATAAGCTTATAAAGCCCTCCGTCCAAAACCAAGTTAGATTGGACTAGAAAAAAGATGACTACATTTTATAATACATACCAAAATATCCTTTAAAAAAAATAATTATTCTGCAGAAGCATTTTGAAAAAAAGATAGTACAGCCAATATCTTACTGCTATTAATTACATTCACATTTTTCATAATGTTTAACCACATTATTCTTAAATATGTTTTCAAGCCTTATTAATATTGTGCAGTCTTTTAGCTCCTGATCTAGTTTGTTCATTAAATCAACACCAAAAGAAATAAATATGTTGTTTTACATTTATTCTTGCTTTTGTTTTTCTGAATATTTTATACCCTCTAAGATCAAAAGCGTGTCTCTGATCAAAAAAAGACCCTGAATATGTACTGGAAACAAATTACAATCACATTCATTCATAATAGACAATTACTTGAGTATAACTAACCAGCTATTTCTTCATCATTATAGAGCAGAGTTTCTAACTTCACATTATGATTTTAGAAGTTGAAAACTGTACAAAACAGATGTTATTTATTTCTGGTTTTATAACTCAGGATGTATATGACAGTAAGTTTATCATTTTCATTCTAATGTGGGTGAGGATAAAAACAAGTCATTAAAAAAAAAAGCAAAATGTGTAACTGTTGAATGATTGGTATCCTGCTACACCCACTTTACTATTGTTTCACCTAAAGTTTTTCCTTCTAAGGTGGGGCTGTTTTTCCACATTTTATGTTCCTAAGGCTCATGCCATTTATTATTTGTCCAGCTTGTCTTCTTCCACATATTGTTGATTTCATGCCAATGTTTACAAACTGTTTTCATTCATTTGGTTTTCACTTTCTTAGTTTCTCTGCATGTTTTTAATATTTATTTTGTTGTTTACATGCTGTGTTTTTTTTTCTTTTATTCTATGAATCTACTCTCACCTTTGGTTCTAAAAGGGGATTTTAATCTGGAGACTTCTGGGGAATTTTTTTTAAGTCTGTTTACACAAATAGTATAAAAAATCCTGCAGACTTTTGTCTTTCTATTATTGGCTTATAATGGAGGCCACATGATTTAATGACTTCTATTATGATTTTGAGAGGCTTTTAGGAATCCATAAAGTTTTTTCGACAGCCCAATAAATGAAGAGTTATGGTTCTAAAGGAGCTTTATAGTTTTGTTGGCTGGCAGCTGCATCGCTTATCGCATCGATGGCAAAGTATTATTGTCCACAAAAAGATGCATTTGATAATAACATGACCAGCTTGATTGAAGTTTAGTCTCGCATACGTTTTGGTAAATAAGACTAATTCCTTTTCTATTAATATCTTTCCGAACTTTAACATTATGTTCTTATTAAAGTTGTTCTCTTTTTGCACAATTTGATGATAAATCTATGAAAAATCCATTTCTAATCAAACAGAAGTAACTACTGTTTTTTGTTTACCAATTTAAATTATTTTTCAGTAATGCAGTTTTTTATATGCAGTTTTAAGATCAGTCACTGAATATTCTGGCAGACATCTGATTAGCAGAGCATTTTGAAAACCACATAAGCACTTCCACTATCTGTAGATTTTAAGATAATCAGCCTTTTCTCTGAATTCTGATTTTCTGAATCTGCATACATGAACGCGGACATTATCTTTTCTATTTCCGATGCATCATTTGTGTCTGTGTTCACTTTGTGCAGGGCTGAGGTACAACACTGCGGGTTATGATTTAATAAGAAGCCATTTTGGTGCCGTGGAGCTTAGAAATTACATTGGATGAACATCAGCACTCTCCATATCCATTATAAAGCCAACAGCAGTCACATACTAGAAAATTTCTAAAGAAATTTAGAGGGGGGCCACCTACTGCCCGTCTGGGTAACTGGGCCAATACGGCCCTGGCAAGTGACATTGGGGCTCCCCAGACCAACTGCTTTTGAGGGCTGCTGAGGGAAGGAAAGAGGGCTAGGTCATGGGCAAAGAGAGCTGTGTGCCTCTTGTGCTGAAATCTGGGAAATAGACGTGCACAGCATATGCTGCACAAGGGTAATATGGGTTGTCCATATTGAACCGCAGTGGGTAAAGCGCAGTTGGCAGGCTCCGCCCACCTGCTAGGAGCCCTTGAAGCTATGAAAAAATCACCAATGGCGGGCTCCGCCCGCCTGCTAAGAGCCATTGCAGTGATGAAATCACCATTGGCGGGCTCCGCCCACCTTCTAAGAGCCATTGCAGTGATGAAATCACCAATGGCGGGCTCCGCCCGCATGCTCAGAGCCATTGCAGTGATGAAATTACAAATGGCTATGAGCAATATGCCAGAATGTATGAGTGTGTATAAGGAAGAGGCTTTTATTCCGTAGAGTCCCTGGAGTCTTATTT